TCTCCTGCCACCAGAACTCCCCTACATCAAATCATGACAGATGCAAAGCCAATCCATCACACACAGAAAGGTATTTCCTTTAATGAAAATATGAAACAGAGATCATTGAAGAATCTGGTTTTGGTCAAGGACAATAAATGTGTTTAAAGCATGATTACAAGAAAACAAATCAAAGGTTTAACATTAGACTGAACAACGCACACCTCAAATAAAGAGAGACTTTCCCTTTCTAATATTAAGAAAATCATGGTCTGTGTCTCCAGTGGAGGAAAAGGCACCATGACTCACCCAGTCACTGTCAAAAACAACTGGGGAAAAAACCAAGCACGTTTACAATTTGCAACAAACTGCAACAGGTAAAATCGACTCTGGATCTCTTTTGATGAAGCTACAAAGGCAATCTGGCAAAAAACCCCACACATTACTCATGAACACACAAAAGTTTAGAAGAGTCCAACATTTTTTTTTCTAAATGAAGCAATTATTCCCAAGTTTGTCCAGCGATCCCATTGTAAAGTATTCCATGATCACCACCTCCTTCACTGATGAGTGAAGATCCGCCCTTAAGACGGCAGGCCCAGGGTCTTTCACAAGCTACCTCCTTCCTAGCATTTCAAGAACTGAGGACATCAGTGCCAGTTTTGCAAGGGGAACCCCTCCCTGAACCACAAGCCTGGTGGAGGGGTGAGACAGCTGCATGCGAAGCAGAAACCACTGTTGCCATGCACCAGTGCTGATGTTCGTAACGTACAGGGAATAATGAAAATGCAAAGCTCGACTCAGGCTTACACTGAAGATGCAACTGCTACAGTTAGCAGAGATCATGGGGAGAAAGAAAAAAGGGTGTCCTGGTTTCAGCTGGAACAGTTAGTTCTTTTTAACAGCTAGGAGAGCTCTGTTTTGGTTTTAGTCTGGGATTCATTATGAGAACTTTGATTCTTCCCATAGAAGAAGTTGGCACTGAGGCCTCAAGGACTTTTCAGCTTCCCATGTTTTTGCCAGTGTGCAGGAGCACAACAGGCTGCAGGGGGAGCATGGCCAGGACAAAGGGTCCGTAACTCCCCTTATGATCTGAACTTACACTTGGGATTGAGGGCTAAATTGACCAATGAAGTATTCCATATCATGCAACATCATGCCCAGTATATAGATGAGGGTTGACCAGAAAGAAGGGCTTTTGATTTTCTGGGGGCTCTCACTCTCGGAGTGCTCTCTCTCTCTCACTCTCTTTTCGAGCCTCTCACTCATCCAGGATTGCAGTGTCAGGACTTAACTGTTTTGGGATCATTAGTCCAGGACGAGACGGGTCTTGGTCACTGGGTGGTGAGCAATTACACTGTGCATCGCTTGTTTGTATATATTATTACCATTATACATATGTATATAGTCATATATTATTAGTAGCAGTACTAAATTGTTCTTATCTCAACCCACAGGTCTCTTTCTCCTTTCCCCTTTAATTCTCTTCCCCATCCCCTGGGGGTTGGGGAGGGTGAGCGAGTGGCTGTGTGGTGTTTAGTTGTCGTGGTTAAGGCCGGCCAGCAACGGGCGACTTCTCTGGATGGAAAATTTCATCCATTTGGCAAAGCTTTCTATGAATAACCTACCCAGTGAAGCACAGTATTCTTTTTGTAAGAAGTACCACTTCCAAACCCTGCCTAGCTCTGTTTCTACCAGCCTCAGGATGCTATTAGATGAACTGAGCACAGTTGTTAGCTCCAAGAGCTGATGCTGGTTATACTTACAGAAGTGCAGTTTCACCAGGAGAGGCGGGGGCTAAGGCTGCCCAGCAGGAGCTGTATCCACTGCAGAGCACCATGTGGGGAGCACAACAGCACCACATGCTCTCTTTGAACACCCTGAGGGAGCCTCTGAGCAGATGGACACCCCAAGGACCACAGTTCAGCTGTGGAAACGCGCAAGAGAGCAGCCATGGTACTGGATGGTGTGTGGCACTCTAGTCTTGCACATGCTGGTGACATGATTTTAGCAAAGGTGCTTGTATGGCTTCAGAAGTTCACAGTATGAGGCTTGTTTGTAAGTACAGTCTACCCACACCATAGCTGGCATGGCTATGAATTTATTGTGGTGCTGCAGCTGCCTGGTCAGTCTGTCACCTCCCTGGCAGCTGTGGTCCCTAAGCCCATGCAAGTTGAGACAACAGGAATGCAGGTGAGGGAGCGCGCCTCACTCCCACTTTCCCTGAGCAGAGGAATTGTATGACGAACGTCTCAATGTACCAGAGCACATTGCTCCTCACGTAGCTAGTCTTTGTGAGACAGTGCAGATGAATTAGACCATGTGTCTGTGGCCACTGGGTCACACTTGAGCATGGAAACTTCAGGTCAACAGGACAAGGAAATTCTACAGCAATAATACAGGAAATGCTTTCTTGACTAAAATGAGAGTTTATAATCTTGTTTAAAAGTAATTTTTCTTCCTCTACACTGCATTTCAGGCTGCATGGAGACAACTTGTTTAAACAAGGGAGTCTACTTTTTCTGTCAAAAGCATTAACTCCTGGCTGCTTCCCACTTGAAAATCACTGAAGGATGTGTTTCTTTTGCAATGGCAATAGAGGATATATGTAGTGGCTATCTCCTAAAATATTAACATCCTGTTAATTCTACCAAACCTTCTGATCTTCAGCTTCTCAAGAAGTCCACAGCGTGTCTACTTACCTTAAGCAAAAATGGATTGCAGTCAGAAGAACAAGAATTTTAACAAAGCATGATATTCCCCACTGTATTACCCAGTCCCTAGAGACATTTAAAATAAAATTAAAAAAAAATAAACCAGCAAACTCAGCTAGCGTACTCAGAGGAACACTGGGAACTAAGACAAAACAACACACCTGTCTTTGAGAACACATCGTACAGCAAGCAGCCTGCTTTCCCATTTGGTACCAGAATCCCTGCTGGCCAAAAAACTCACCACTCCTCTCCCAGTCCTACAGGATCACCTCACCATTTCCTTTCTGCCTTTCCTGCACAGATTGTCTTTCCAGTACACAGTCCCACTGGAAAAGATAGTGCTGCTCCAATTAAGTCCAGCAATAAGTCACCCCTGTAAAACTGTGGCAAAAAATGGTGATTCTGCCAATTACTATGGGGTTTGGTGGGCTAAAACACACAGCTCCGTGAAACTAAGCAGACTGTCATCTGAGAAGGACAGAGGCAGGACTGCAAGGTTTGATGGAGTGACCCCAGCCACAGCACTGGAATGGTGGTTAGCAGTCATTTGGCTTGCGGGGTACGATGGAGAAGCTCTGCCTGAGCCCTTGTGCCACATGCTCCTAGGATCAGCACTGTGCATACACCTTGAGCTTTTGTAGCCAAGAAGATGGGAAGAGTCCTCCACCATGCCTTCCTGGCATGCTCTGTGGCCCCTCCAACCCCTCGGAACCCCTCAGCCAGCTTAAACCAAATTTAGCAGTGCAGAACTCTCAAAGGCATTCGGCACTGAAAGGCTTTTCAATGACCTTCAGTGGCATAGCAGAGGACAGGAGATCTACTAGCAAATTCTTCTGAACAGCTCAAATATAAGGAGTGCTTCAGTCAAAATGTGTTCATGACAAAACAAGTCCAGAAATAAAACACTGAACATATTAGTTGCAGTTTTGATAGCATATGAAAGACAAAGGCTATTGTTCCCTGCTATTCTGAGGTTGATGGTCCAGAATGCTACCATCGCTATCCAGAAGGCATCTAAAAGGCCTTTCCTGCTTCTCTGTGGATTGTGCAATTTGCGGGTACCCACCTGACACTTAACTCTTTGGAAGATCAGCATGGCAGCATGCAGAAGGGGCAGACACGGTAGAGCCCAACTTGAAACAATAAGCATTAAGTCATAACTTATGACAGGAGAACCAACCTACCTCCAAACTGGGTGCCGGTCTTTGTTGAAGCAAACAAGATTACAGGCTATTTGGGAGTGGGCTAAAACAACCATTCCTTGGTCAGAAATCGCGCAGCCCAGCAAGTCACAATGAACCCTCCAGCACATCTCTCTCAGTTTAAAACCTCTCTTGAACACTTCAGGATTTTGCTTACCAGTACTTCTCTGACAGACAGCACGCAAACGTCTCTTTTCATAGCGACTTAAGAAACAAAGGCACCTACACAAAGCACCAACTGCCAATAAAGATCTACCACTTGTAGACCATCACTCCAAATATGCAGAAGTAAAGGGCAACAGACAACATTGATCCAGTTGTCATCACCAATGAGGAAGAGGACAGTAGCTTAAAAAACCCAGTTGGTGATCTCAGTTTCTCAAGGCAGAATAAAAACACGTGGGACCAGACCCCTCCTATGCAACTGGCAGTGCATTAAGGACATGGAGGAAGCCCAGCAGTAGGCTTTGTGGCTCAGTTTTATGGCTGGAAGTGCTAGCACTGGGTTGCCTAGGGGATACATGAAGGCACACAGGCTCACCATCTCTGGCAAGTCCCAGGACATATAGTGGTAGGAACAGATCCTTATGAGGAAAGACAAAGGCGGTACTACAGCAACTGAGTAAACACAAGAAAGAATTATCAGACATGTCCTCCTAATTTCCCTAATAATACATGTGAAACATCTACTAGAATACCCAGCATTGCTGAAAAGGCACCATGGTTGCAGTGAAATACAGCTACTTGAACTCAAATATACAAGCTGAAGGAAAAATTGAAGAAGTGTATGCCAGGGTTTCTTTTAAAACAGCAAAAGTATTGTATAAAAACATTTCCCTATACAGTAACATTAAAATGAGAAACATTAACATCTGCATGTTGCTTCAGCTAGTATTAAATTTCAACATAGCTAACGGAAACCACCAATAGCTGCTCTACAACAGCCCTAAAAGCAATAAAAGGGAGCTCGCTGACTGTGCAAAACTGTAGATTGCTCCTAGCTCTGTGTGTCTCAACATACGTTGTGGAGCGGAAAATCTTGTTTCCCTAGAAGGGATCAGAGTTTTTTTAAAAACACCAAGAGAGAACTATGTCATTTGCCTGGTTATTTCAGACCTTCCACATTTCCAGAGGAGAAAGATTCCAGAGCTGCCAGCTATGAGGAACTCTTCTCCTTGTATTTCTGGTAAGCATCCAATATCTCCTTGACAACACTTGGATCATCAAGTGTGGTGACATCTCCCATGTTGCTTAATTGTTCAGTGACTAGTTTCCTCAGCAGCCTTCTCATGATCTTCCCTGATCGGGTTTTAGGAAGACGTTTCACCACCTGCAGAGAAGGGAAACACGCACCTATATCAGAATCTGGGTCCTACTGGAAACCACAAGGAAATTTGGCTGAACTGTCCTAAGCCTGGCACACTATCTCATGGCCACAGCTCCTTTCAGGCTCCTGGGAAATACCTAGACCATTGAGCACATTGGTTTACGTCCAAGGAAAGGAGTGTCACTAGCATCAATTCTTTGTGCTATAAGCTATATTCTTATCTAAGTGGACTTTGTTGCCCATTTACTCATTGCTGTGTACCTCTAGGCTGGGTGCTTCAGGATGCACAGCTCTTTGGACAATCAGGTCCTGAGTAAGCTGAAAACTATTGAACTAGAAAGCTAGTTACACTTGAAAACTCCGGCACTGATGATGACACAGATCTCAATGCACTACCAGAACAGACATTCATATTCCCCTTTACAGGGCAGGAATATGAAGCACACAATACGGCACACCAGCTACAGGGTCTCCTACTCAAGGCGTAACTCCTGTTTGCTGATGATTCTCTCTGCCTGATTACATCTGTCACCCTACATGCCTTCCTTCATAACCAGAATAATGTTAAATGTCCTGGTTATGCTTCCTGCAAAGGACCTAGCAGCAGATTCAAAGGCTTTAGCATAAACCTGAGCCTAGTAAAGAGCTCTCAGGCACTGCTCCTCAAAGAAGTGGTCTCGTCACTACCTCCAAGCAGAGAGTGGAATGGACGCAGGCAGGAGTTGGGGGTGGCTAAGGGGCAGCTTTGTACACTCTCCCCAAACACACAAAGGCAGCTGCTGAAAGGTGAGCAGGCTTGAAAGAGAGCCTGGAGTTCATCCGCGCTCCCAGCCTCAGGCTGAACAGCTGTCAGAGTTACAAAATAGAAACAGCCAATGCTTTGGGATCTGGAGTTGATGCTAATTATCAATGCAAAATAGCTGGGCAGTGGAAAGTGTCACTCTGCCCCACAGTGACACTGAAGGTTGATGCATTTCTCTACAGTTTGGTGGGGTTTTATCTGATCCATTGCACAGGGCTGCAGAGAGCAGTGCTACATTGCTTCAGCAAGGGGTTGCTGAGGGCAAGAACTATGTGGAGCAGTAATGCTGCTGCATCATGAGCAGGGACATCAAGTGCATCTTGAGTCACAGCGTGGGCCTGGGGTTCCCCTCTGCCAGAGCTCTTGCCAAGCACGGTGCTCTCACCACTCTATGTGCATCGCATTTAAAGGACTGTTCAGCACTTGGCCCAAATGGAGCAGCCTCAGCCTCAGGGTAGCTCTAAAACACACTCTGTAGCAGGCACACTGAGAAGCTGCTCTGCAGGCTGGGGCAGCTGTGATATGCCAACCACCCTCTGAATCTCTGCTGATCCTCAGACGTCAAGAAAGAGCACATGCAGCCCACTGCACCTGCCCTCCCCTACCTAGAGATCCCTCCAGCTAGTTCTGTTTTTCGGCTTCTTTGTCCTGCCAGAGAGGGACAACAGCAGCACTAAGGGCAGGAAGGTGAGGCTTGCTCAATGGGACTATTCCTGCTCCCGGTCCCGGTTACAGTCTCCCACTTACCAGAAAGTGGTCAGGCACAGCGTATTTTGCTATCTTGGAAGCCACTATGGTTTTGAGCTCTTCTTTGACACGGTCTATATGAGCTGTCTGCTCCTTTAGCACTATGAAAGCAAAGGCACCTGGAAGACAAACGAGCGGAAGTCACATACCTCATATTAGATCCTGGCTGGCAAGATCAGGGCTGCTCATTCAAATGCCAAGGCAGGTTTCAAATCATTCCTGTGTGCAACCTAGGGACTGCCAAGAAAATCATAGATCCTGTTTACAAAAGGGAGTCAGGCTCCAGCTCTCAAATGATGACCCAGCCTTGTCGTGGCAGCTATGGACTAGGACTAGACTGATGTCAGTGACAACGACAACTCAACATAAATTACCAAAGTGTCATTGGGATCAAAAGTTGGCCAGTGCAAATCAGCAATTCCCATTCTGTTCAAAGGACATCTCTGAGCACAACCCTTTTTGAGGAAGCTCTACTGTGTATATAAACACCATGTGTGAAAACAGTTCAGAGGAATAATACCTGCACCAAGCTTAGGAACGTGCAGTTATTTTCATGGCTATCTTTGCCTCTTGGGGCTGCAATGCCAGTCAACCTAAGGATAACTGCCCTCCCATTCCCTAGGCACCTCCTAACACGGAGCCCAGGTTAGAAATTAAGGAAGTGTATGTAGGTGTCACGTCAGGACACTGCTTTTCACATACCTTCTCCTTTGATCTTGTGTGGATACCCAATCACAGCTGTCTCAGGGACCTCAGGGTGATCAGCCTTCCCAAAAAGTGAAACAAAAATACATAGAGCATAACAACTGCTTCAAGCCCTGCAGAGTTTGTGCCAGTTGCTCTAGGAACGAAACACCTTGCCACCTCTCACCCTCACTTTGGTAGATCATGAACTGGATGCCACCTTCCTATTGCATAGTCAGCTGGTGGTCACAGCCATGGCCACGTCTCTGGGAGTAGCATTTACTCACTGGATTGGCCCTGCTTTTAAACACACAAATAAGTACTCTTACACACACTGCTAAGCCCACTGCGCACCAAGCTGAACTTGCACCAGTTGGAAACCTGCTTTCTTTTTCTTTGTCTGCGCTCTTGTGTGTGCATGGCTACGGTCCCACGTGGTTATTGGCCATGGCCAAGTCACAAGCAAAACCAGTCCTGCATTGCTCTGTGCCACAGGGAACTGCTGCCAGCAGAGCAAAAGCGAAGCTGCCAACATCACAGTCCACATTTGACTGGTGTTTATAAGTGCCCAAAGCACACCAGAAGGCAGAAAGAATCAGGCTTCTTCATCTTCCCAGAAGGGGGGAAGGGTTGTTTTACCAGATGTATATTTTTATTATTACGCTAGACAACAGTGATTTATTCTGTCACACTTCAGAGTTTAATTTAACATTCTTCTGCAGTAAGAAGACAATTTGGGTGTACAGACCAGAAGAAATTGCATATCTGAATCCCACACCAAAGACTGGTTTATGCAATCTTAAATTAGATTAAAATATGAAAGAGAACATCACAGAAAAATCTAAGCATATAAACAGATTTATATATATACATGCATACACATACATAGAGTGGTAGAGGAAGTGGATCCTGTATCTACGGTCGGAAACCCACACCGACAAAAAAATTACTCGCGGAGGAGACAGTAGGATCCCATGTGCCATGTGAACACAGCTCAATATCAAACGTTACATTTAAGTGCCATTTGCAGGCAAGGCACATAATACAGAAATAAGTATTCAGGTCAAGCTTTGAAGGTAAATGCTCTGAGGACTTTTTGTTTTCAATTCCCTGAGCTAATATTATTTTCTCTCAAAATGACAGGCTAGCTTTGCAGCTGACATGAATCAAAGTTGCTTCATATTTAACGCTGCTGAATTCTCAGGTATACTCAGCTAGTTCGGATGAGCAAGAGACAAAGATTTGGGAAAGAGAGGTTAGGTGTTGGCAGAGGGAAAGGAACAAAGAGGAGAGACAATCCCTTATGGAGACTCCACCAGCATCCAAAATTACAGCCGCAACAGTACGACGTCACTAAGAAGAAACACAGCTCTGACAGTTCGACTGCAGGGACTGCCCGCAGTGTGACTCCTCTCTCACTTGCCCATTCGTCATCTCCTTAATTAGAGTGCTGTTTCCTTTTGCACATTTGCTATTCATTATGTATCCAGCTGTGCGTATGCAGGGGCAGGGGTTTGAAGGCAAGAGACCCCACGCTAGTTTAAATTCATAAAGCTCCTTTGAAAGGGCCACCCTGCCCTACAGATACGCCCCGTCAAGGACCTCTGTCTGCTTGGAACTTACCATTGCATCTTCTATCTCTGCTGTCCCGAGCCTGTGTCCGCTGATGTTAATGACATCATCCATGCGTCCTGTTATCTGGTAATAGCCTTTCTCAGTCCTGTAAGCACCATCCCCTGTGAAGTAGTAACCTACAGCAAAGACACATGGGTGGTCAGCAGCAGGAAATGTGCCAGGCTATTGCTCTGGGGTCTGATGCAGAACAGACTCTGCTCTAGGATGGCAAGGTAAGGTAGGGTGGATCAGGCAGCTCGCAAGGCCTCCCAACCTTGCAGCTGCACAACCTGCCACATACCATTTCCCACTTCTTGATGCCATCCCCAACTATCGTCTGCTCCATCTGAGCTGTGCTGGCTCCTAGTAAGCACCTGAGCAGCACCAAAACAGTGGAGCTCAGATCTCTGCCAAGACAGGCAAAATCACTGCAGTCAATCAGCAGCAACTAGTGGCTGATGTCCCTGTAGTAAAACCAAGTCAAGCAACACAACGCAGTGATGCTTTGTTGGATTTACAGAACCAAGGAGGGGGCTCTCTGATCTCCCTAGGCTTTGCATGCCTACAACTGCACAGCAACTGTGCGCTCAGGCCTGGTGCATACAGCACTAAGATAAAAACCACTTCAGATGCCATTTGCCATTACGCTGCAGGCTATTGGTCAAACTCAGGTCTGCTACTAGACACACTTCGGCACTCACGGAAAATTACAACTGTTCAGCTGAAAGAGAGCAGTTCTATCACATTTTGTACCTGGGAACATTGCCAATTTTTTTAATCACTCATTTACACTGAGACGGATGAAAAGCCATTTTCCCTCCTGGCTAACAAAGATTCAGATTCCAGATAACAGTCTCTCTCCAGCATATGAGCATGGCAGAAACATTAGATTAGCTGAAACCACCACCCTCCCCCACGATAAGCATGGTGTTTGGAGGGTCTAAAGCATTTGATGGAAACTGAAAAAGATCCAGTGGTTCCAGGAAACTCCAGTGTCACTGAGGACACATCTGGTGACACAGGTTGTGTTGGCACTTCATCAAAGCCATGTCTGCATCTGAATTGTCCCAGTGGCACTTCTGAGCAGCAGCAGGCAGCTAGTGCTGTGAAATCTGAAGGTGGTTTTTGCCAGGACCCATTATTGGCCAATTCATGGACTTCCACTCATGCCTCCTGCCTTTCCAGATCAATTAAACAATAATCAAATAAATATCAACAAGATTTCAGATGTGAACATGTAGTGAGTAATAAGGGACTACGGGTTCATTCAATTTTTTCTATTAGTTTCTCATTCTTATTTTCCAACCTATTTTGCAGGATTCTCTCTCTAATTCTTGTCTACCTTGTAGCTTTCAAATCCCTTTCAGTTGCTCCCAAGTGGAGACAGTGCTCTTGTCCAATCTCCTACAAAAAATGTTTCCCTGCCACTTCTAATTACTTGCCAGATACAACTTGATCATGTTTTAAAAAGGAAGGATGTATCACAATCTGTGACAGTAAGGGTGAGATTCAGTGATGCAGGAGGTACTTTCCCATCCAATATGCCTATTTCCAAGGGACACAGAAAAAGCTCCAAAGAAAAGGTATTTGGGCTTTAAAATTTGGGTATTACTGTTTTCTGAAAAATACATTCCCTTTTGACAGCTAGAAAGGTCAACACTATCTAAGACTATTAGTGCCTGCTTGCAACATGTGACACACAACCCCAAGCAACCAAGATCTGGCTGGTACAGAAATATCACAAAGTGCTGCTGAAAATATTCAGTGTGCTTATACTATAGTGCGAACTGCCTTCCCTTGGCACCTTCCTTACCTGGGTAGGCTTTGAAATAGGTATCGACAAATCGCTGGTGATCTCCATTGATTGTTCTTGCCATGCCAGGCCATGGCTGGGCAATGCAGAGCGCACCGGACACATCGTTGCCCTCTATAACCTTTCCCTGCAGGTTCAAGCACAGGAAGAATGATCAGCTGAACAAAATAGGAATAGTAAGGGCTTCCGTGTCATCGATCTGGCAAGAGTGACCCTGCAGACTGCCAGCGGAGAGCCACAGGTGGAGAAAATTAATCCACTTGTGGAGCTACTATGCACTGCCTGTATCATGCCTTCCTCACCCCTTGAGGCCAGCAGCACAGCAGATAAGACAGTTGTAAGACTAAAAGAAAAGTGAGTCCTGTGATTCTCTGGAAGGCAACGCCAGCAAAAATGTGCCGAGCAGCCAGAAGATGCCTGGGATGAGCTAGCAGGGAAATGCCTGGATCCCTGCCTTTCACTTTCACTTTTGTTAACTGCCATATTCCCTTACCAAACTGTATATGGAGGAGATTACAGGCTTTACTGTTTAACAGAGCACTAGAGTGCAGATGAGGATCACTCTGCACAGCTTCACAGACCAACACCAGTCTTCTCAGACACACACAGTTGCAGGGCCTCATGCCTTGCATTTCCTATGGAAAACTCCACCAGTCCCATTGGCTGCTCCAGTCTTGCCATGTCACTGGATGTTGCATGCACTGCTCCAATTGTTCAGCTCCCTTGTTCCCAGGAGCTGTGTGACTTCCGATGTCTCTCGTAAATGGAAGCAGCAGCTCTTAATCAGAAGCAGTGTAAGACCATAAAAGTGGTGCTGAAAATGCAAACACTTCTCTAGAGATTTGCAGACAGCATTGCAATGCCCAGTTGGCAATCTGTATGGACATTCTGAGATATGCTTAACAGACAAATTACTCATTTATTCTAGCATTTTAATGGAGGAACAAACATCCTTCTGGATCGTGTTCTTCTGCCATCAAAAAGGTGATTAAGGCAGAAACACACACCAGCTTCTCTTTTGGGCACCCAGCACCACCTCAACTCACGTTCTCATCCATCAGCACAGGCACAATCCCAAAGAAAGGTCTCATAGCCATAGCCGGAACGATCTCTGCTTTCTCCTCTGAAGGCCGTGGGGCAATGCAGATGCCACCAGTTTCTGGAAGAATAATGAAAAACAAAACACGTGGAGTCCATCCAATGCTGGAAGAAAGAAAATGCCAGCTCTTCTTAGTTAAAGAAGAGAATAGCGAAGCGACCTTGCAAGAAAAAGCCATTGGGAAGGAATTATGCAACACCAAGTAGCACAGCCATCTGAAAGCAGCACAGACCTGACAAACCAAGAGCTCTTTGTGAATGCAAGAAAGGCTTAAATATAAAGAACTGTCTGGCAAGCCAGGATGACACCACCAAGGCCTGTTCTGTCTATAGGGGACAGTGCAGCAGGTGGAGAATGGAGAGCTGCAGGCAGGTCCCCCCTTGGTTAGCTCACATCAAGAGCTACTCCTGCTCCCTGTTTGCATGGTGCCTTATTCAGTGCTGGCTGCAAAGATCACTGCCCACGATGTACACCAGTGACAATCCACAGAGTGTGGCCAAGCAGCCACCTCAGGGGAAGAGCAGCTTGCCATACCCCAGGGCATCTGGCTTCGCTTCAAGGCGCACGTTCAACAGCCTTCCTACAGTCCCGTCCGCGGCGAATCAAGCAGGCACAGTGAAGACCCTGTTGATTCAGCCCACGTGCTCTGTTCTCTAGATCTGGCCCTAAGTCTGCTCACGGATAAACCCCTTCCTCCAGCTACCAACCAGCCACGAATACAGGCAGCTCTAACGCACACTTACACCCTTGCAGGTCCTTCTCACACTGCCAGTGGTACCTGGTGGCAGCGGCAGCACTCACCAGCCCCATTTCCTACCCTAGAAGTGATTTTACAGGGAGAGCACAAGCACGTCAAGGGATTTATTTCCCGGTGCTGTTTTAACAGGTGTCTAAGGTTAGTGTGAAAAGCACTTCAGGAGTCTGAATTACTATTATTACAGAATACCAGATTAACCCACCCCTTACAAGTAGGTTAAGCTTATCTTCTACTCAAAATTGAACCTTTTAATCATCCTTTTTTGCTGGGATGAACGTTAAATCAGTTTCCAATCTTAATCCAATCTTTTCTACTCTAAAACTAATTCAGAAACACAAGAGAGAAACAAAACCAAAGGAGCATTAGGCTTTTAAAAATACAGGTCTATAAATAAAGATATGTTCTGCCGCTTGGAGAGTGCATTCCTTTATCAGCTTTGCTGAGGTACTGAAAACTGAAACCAGGGGTTGGAAAGGCTGAATTTGACCCTGAATTTGAATCCAGCTGCCCTGACGTAGCTATGAGGAAAGGTCTCTTTGAGGAATCCTAAGCTTCAGACCTGCAGAAAATAGTTTAACATGTGGCTTACACATAAAATTATTTCACACTCCATTGATGGACATGCATCCACTTCACATATTTCTGTTTATTTTAAAAGGGTCACCTTGTTTTTTTTCAGAAAAAGAAAAAAGCACCTCAGACACCTGCTGTTCTCTGTTTGCAGAGACAAAATCTGCCTCAGAGCAGGGAACCTGATTAAACTGATGGTTGCTCTTCCTAAGCCCATCCTCATTCTGAATACAGCACTGCAAGCTATGTTTCAACATGGGTTTTGCCACATGCTACACATCCTGCAGCCAGCTGTACATAAAGCAGAAAAGTCACATTCCAGAGGGAGCTGCATGGTGGCAAGGGTGCTTTAAAAATTATTTGTGTGGTAAAGATCTATTTTAAACTGGTTTAAAAGTACTAATTACAGCCACTGACAGATGACCACTATCAAGGCTTCTGGGCTGTACCCTGCCCTTATGAAGTCTGTCTCTTTAGAGGCAGAGCTGACAGAAGAAAAGCTGTGCTTCCTTGTTACCTGTGGCCATGCTACCATCGTAGTGGAAATCCACCCAGACTTTAATCGCGGACAGCAGTCTGTGCAGGAAGGGTGATGCATCAAAACAGGCTCCCCTCTGCCATAGGTGAGTCACCTCTGACAGCAGAGTGGAACATGTACTCTCTGCCACTGTTGTCTTCACCACTGCAGAGAGATTGGACTGACTACTTCAGGGGGAAAATCCATCTCAGAAGCACCAGTCCAGTCTCATAGATTCATAGATTTCTAGGTTGGAAAAGACCTTAGAGATCATCCAGTCCAACCATCCCTAGTCCCCATTAAACCA